TGATACCCTCCTTCGATGCATCTTATGAGGGAAACGAACTGTACGAATCTCATTTCCCATATGACTTATCAAGTGGGACAAGTCTTATTTTTGTCTATATTGACATTATTCAATACCAAACTGTTGGTGATGCAAAGGCCCCATTGTTACGCGTCATTGATTCAAATAGACGCATCAAAAACGGTAGTGCCTGCAGCATTGAACCTAATCATCGAAAAAACTTCACTAATTTAGACTACAAAAAATTATTCACTTCATCTGTACAATCAATATCGGTACAGTTGCGCACAGAAACTGGAAGACTAGTGCCCTTTGCAGGAACTGGTAAAGTTGTGTTGACTCTAAAATTCAAGCGTTTTGATTGAAAACCAATGGAACAATATTATGCAAAGCAAGCTTCACTTCCTCATTTCTCTGGACACTACCGACAACGCGGCAGTGGATTTGGCGCTTTGGCTGCTGGTATTGGTCGTGTTGCTATACCGTTTGCACGACGGGTTATTCTACCGGCAGCGAAAAAACTGGGCAGAGAACTTTTGATGAGTGCAGCGCCAGAACTAATTGATGTCGCTATGAAAAAGAAGTCTCCTAAACAAGCATTGAAAAACACTGTCACAAAAACTGCAAGAAAACAACTCGGTGGTGGTAGACGACGTCGTCGAAAGACACCAATGAATGGATTACGAAGAAGAAGGTCAGTAGGGGCTCGAAAAAGAAAAACAACCATTCGAAGAAAAACCAGACCAGTGAGAAGTCGAGCAGATTTTTTCTCAAACATAAAAAATGATCGCTAATTTGTTACCCAATGAAGCTACCCATAGCTCTCTAGATTTGTTTGAAAAACAACCTCTTTTGATTACTTTTGAAAACGCTTTTGATCAAAAAATTGGACCTGTTTATTCACCTAATGGACCAATGCTTGAATTTGAAATCACCGGTGACCGTAATAATTTTGTTGACCTGCAAAAAATTTATTTGGAAATACGATGCAAAGTAACGCAATCAAGTGGAGCTGATCTGCGATACGACAACACTGATCCTACTGTGTCTGATTCACCGTTCCTCGTAAACAACTCCCTGTATTCCCTTTTCTCTGACTGTACCCTCTCTGCTAATGGACTCAAAATCTCAAATGCCAATAGTAATTTTGCGCATAAAAGCTTTATTGGAACAGAAGTTTCTAACAGCAAAGGAGCCAAGGACTCATGGCTTAAGTGTCAGGGATATCGTTTTGAAAACAATCCCGCTGCAATAGATGCAGCTGATTTCACATCTCAACGAGAACTGGTCCGTGAATCGAGGGAAATTTGGTTCTATGGACCCGCTGGAGTTGATTTTTTCACATGTGACAAGCATTTGTTGAGCGGTGTTACCCTCAGACTTTCCTACAGACGTTCTCATGAAGATTTTCTCATTATATCGGAAGATGCTGCCAAGCATTACAAGCTGCAAATACTCGAAGCGAACCTATATGTTAGAAAAATGACTGTGACCGACCATGTGCTCTCTGCCATTGAATCAACTTTGCTCAAAACTCCTGCGAACTACCCATATCAAGAAGAAATTACAAAAACATTTCTTGCAACAGCTGGTCAGCGCAGCTGGCAACAGGAAGATATTTTTGCTCGTGAACCGGTGAGACAAATTATCATAGCATTGAACACAAATAATGCATTTCTAGGAACAAACCGAACGAATCCTTTTCATTATCAAAAATTTGGACTGGAGCAAGTTACTTTGAGACGAAATGGTTTACCAATAGCAAGTACACCAATCAGTACACAAGATCATAAGCGTCTCTTCTTCAACACACTATCAGCGCTGGGTTTGTTGCACTGCGGGCTGGGAATCACTCTGGATAACTACCAACAGCACTTTATTATGTGTTTTGATCTCACTAGCACACAGCAGGCAGCTCATGACTTCTTGCATCCAGAACTTACTAACTGCTCAGTTTCACTCGATCTTCAATTCTCAAACGCTTTGACAGCAAACCTGGAAATTTTTGTTTGGGGTATACGCTCATCCAATGTATTTATTACCTCCGACCGCAAAGTTACAAAGAACGTCCTTCCCATTTCGACAGTCTGAAAATGGATGAAATCCAGTTGCAGGACCTCATTCAGAATTGTAAACATCTGAAATATAAGTTTTTTGGAGTATTTGCAGCCGACAATTTTCCACCTCACATCCCAAACAACATCTTTATGATTGTGAACACTTCAAAATCAGATTCTCCGGGGACACATTGGATTGTGATATGCAACAGAAGAAATGTTTTATACTTCGCTGATCCTCTCGGTCTTCCTCTCTGGCAGTACACCAATCTGTATAAACGATTGAACGAGAATTTTCATCAAGTGACTGAATTGATGACAAACTTTCCCATGCAAGACTCAAACTCTACCATGTGCGGTTCTTTTTGTATTTATATTGCACATTTGATTTTTGATAAAAACTTTAATGGTGATGCTTCTGATTTTGTTTATATAACTGATCATGTTTTGAAACGTTTCCTAACTCACATGCGTACCCATTAACTAACCATTTAATATGGTTGATTTATACATTTTACAATTCAATTTTGAACAATACATTCTTTTAGTAATTGAAATTTTACCCAATTGTTAACTGAATAGCAGTAATTCGAGAAGTTAAGCTTTTTATCAAAGTGAGAAAAAAAGTACAAAATCGATCTATGGGGGGATATCACCATACCAGCTACTGTTGCCTCCTTTCAGTACAATTTCCGGACGGGTTTCGAAACGCCGCCTTTCGGCTGAGAGTCGAGCGCCATGCGTTTTCCTCTACTCGGACCCCAAGAAATTTTGTTCCACTTCAATTTTATAGTAACAAGTTAGGTACACGTCTTAGAAATGGTTGCAGCAAAATTAATGGGCACTTTTGGCTTTCATCAGTGTTCTCGTTTTTCAAGATCTTTAGCCACTTCAACCTTTTAGCTCTTTCAACCTTTCTATCAAATCAAAGTTTTTGTCATAGATTTCAGACGTTTATTTTTCAGTCTCTTGTAGACACGGAAAATGGAAATGTCAAAATTTTCAAGCCAATTTCATCATTTTAGAGTTTTCAGTGTTCCATAATTTTTCTTTGTTTTTACCTTCAATTGGCTGAACGAAATTTTTCATTCTTATTTTGGTCAAATTGATTATTAATTTTTGCCTAAATAGAGGTGGCGGCCGCCGCACTTGACGAATTTTGCTTTCTTCGAGATTCAGTAATAAAACATGCATTTTTGAAGGAAATCGTTCACCGCAGCCAACAGTTAAGCTACGCTGCCAAAATCTTGTGCTTTTCTATATACCATATAGTTTGGTCGCATATAATAGGTATATAACGTCATTTTACATGTAAACAAACCAATACCCCCAAACTTTAGAAGGGAAAACATGCACCGACCAAAACCTAATTCCATTCCCGTTTCCACAACGTTCAGTGGGAATACTCAATAATATACCGAAGTTTTACATGAGGACTATTAGGTATAAAATTATTTATGGTGACAATTAGGATTATTACATAGTGACCATTAGGTATAAAATTATATGTGGTGACAATTAGGATTATTACATGGTGACCATTGCTGATCATTTAATACATGGTGACCATTATGATTTATACCTAATGGTCATCCATGTATGACAACCCCCCCCGATCCTAACGCACTATATGCATACTACTCAAGTCAATACAAAAAAATTCTTAGGTAAATTAACTTGTCAGAGTTTTTCTCTAGATAAAAGTATCTTTGGCTGATATTTAAAAAGATCCGTCTAAAGTTGCTAGCTAGTTAAAAAGCCGGAACTTGTCTGGAGAAAAAAAAACTACCCCGAGCAAAAATAATCCGTCTTTTTCTTTGAATTTCAGAACAATAAATATAATGAACGCATATGATGGGGAATTGATAATTTTACCGCTTTTTGGCGGTAACCTAAATAATTAGGTGAATATTTGATGAAGTGAAGTTGATGATTTTTATTCATTCATCAAATCAATGATATCTATAATCAAATAAAAACCAAAATAACTTTTTCTCTGATTGAATATTTAATCGAAGCAATGATTGCATGCTAACGGGCACACATGATTATCGCGCTAGGCAACCCGTAAAAACTGCAGATACGTAAAATAACATTAAAATATGTGAGAGACGATGGCGTGATTCGCAGCCAAAATCACTTTTTCAATAGCAAAGCAGACTCATTTAAGTGAGAACCCAAAAGAGGCGCATTCTGAAAAAAAACGAAAAATATTTATTTGCATCAAATACTAAATTAAAAAGGGTACAATATGCTAAAATCGCAGCTTATTAATACTAAATTTGAGGGAGAGCATCAAAAAACTGACTTTTGGCTTGTTTTTTTCAAAAGCGTATGCATGCGTCGCAGAAATTTATGAAAAATTAGGACCTGTAAAATGTCTTGGAGAGAGCACGGAAAATCTATTAAAACAAGGTCGACGAAATTTTTTCGAGAAAATCCCACAGAAAATTGCAGATGCACCTATGCCTTCATGCTTTATAATATAATCCCGAAATAGAGTTTCCACCTTAGAAAGGAACTAATTCAACGATTAAGCGTAAACGAAATTGTGCCTTTAACCAATTCCCCCTTTTTGCAATATGATTAATCAGCAATATAGAATTTGGTCGACTGTACTGTGTACGAAAAAGTGCACTCTGTGGATATTACTTTTTTTAGTAATTGATTCACTCAATTTTTTTTGAAACATTAATTTGACAAGATTTATCATGCTCGCCAAGTATCGTTTTTATCCTTTTTAAGTGGAATGGGGCTGGTGTGGAGAGATGATCGCACGGTTGATCCCATAGTTTTCACTTTCAGCAAAACTAAAGGAAGGATTGAACAAAACAATTGTCGGGACGCAGTATTAAACGCATGCAGTGTCAAACTTTAGCCTGGTCAGTCCGTGTATTTTCCCATTGTTTTTATTTAGCTTGATAAGCAAGCCTGTATTTGCAGGTAGAGGAGGAGCGACAGTCGATAGTGCGAGGGGGAGGGAACAGACGGCACCACCATCCCTGCCCCAAAGTAGATCCCAACGGGGGCAAGACTGTGTTCGAGTACATGCGGGATGCAGACGAGACCTCCGTCAGCTTCAGAGACCTCCTCTCAAAGGTCCTCTGTGCTATAGTGCTGTCCTGTGAGTGCCATTTTTTAATGTACCACTGGACAAGAAACTGGCGGATCTTCGAGAAAGCATGATTGTTTGGATAGCTCAGGATTTTTTTAGAGTCGGCAGCAAAAAGTGTCGAATTCTGATGATGTATTTTCTTAGATTTTCGAAAATTTCACTCTAAAATCACACATTTAAAACAGGTCAATTCGTTCGATTTAAAATAAAGGAGGCAAACAGGCTCAATTGATGTGAGAATAACAAGATTTGTGCCTTTTTGCATCCTTAAATCAGAACCAAACGATGTGAACCGTTGTAATTTTGATTTGAAATTTTGCTGAGCAAATTGCACCATGAAAACGCTGCTATAACTTTCGGCACTTTTTGTCCCGTATCACGTATCAATTCTAGTTTAAATATAACCTAATTTGAGAGAAACTAATTCGAAAATTTTGTTTACTTCATTTTATCCCATTATTTTTTAACAATGCAGTGAACTTTCAAAAAAGCCAGCTTCAAGAAATTATCATCACAACTTGGAAAGTGTTGCTGCCGACTGCAAAAATAAGCACTTTGATGAACAAAAGTTTTTGGGAAACCAGATAGGATTCATTAACGTTTTAAATAAGAAACAAGAAGAATCTTTAGCAACTTAAATTCATTCGGTTAAAGTTATGTTTGATTCGAATCTGAAAACTCATAAATACTCATAAATAGCTGTTGATTATAGCATTAATTTTACTAGTTATATAAATAGATAAGACATCTAAATGATTACTGTAAGTAATTATATCATCAAGTATGGTTATCACATAAAGTTTAAGTTTAGTGTTTTAGTATTAATCAGTTTTCTATGGATATCCGATATATGATGTTGACGGATAACAATCCCCCATTTTGGATATAATGTTTTCGTGATATTTCTGTTTTTGCCGCACTTTTTAAAAAAATGTTTTCTTTTCCGATCTTCTCGTTGTAGGTGTTTCTTTGCTGGGACTTCTTGCTGCTGGTTGCGTATTGAACGCTCTTTGCGGAGCACTGGTACGTTTTTCTTCCGTGTTTAATGTTGTTTGTTTCTTGTCCGCTTTTACTCGAGCATGGTGTTGTTCGCACTCCCTTTGAAAAGATATTGAACATTTAGTAGGTGAAATAGCTTTTAGTGTCCTCATCGCGGCATCAAAGTCTTTGAGGAATTCGCTATCCGGAGATGTTGTACTAATTTGTCGATCAATGACAAACCTCGAGCTTACCGCCCTTTGCAATAAAGATTGAGGTGACCTAATCGGTGTGGATTTTTCGGCGCTGTTTGCCTTACTCTTTTTGGTTGGTTCTCGGCGTGGAAATTATGTCAGTTCTCAGTGTGGCTGGGAGTTTGTAGTGGTTGTTTCTGCTCTAATGCATTCAGTATCCGTCGGGGGTTCCCGTGTGTCCTCCTGGATTGATTTTACTAAAATTTTTGTGCCCTCAGATTGGGGTGGTGTGTTGGTAAGAGCGATATTTCCTATACTGATGCTTGTTTCGGAATTTGCTTCATCGACCTGATTAATCGGAATTGCGTTTACTGCTTTTCTTCTTGTAGAGCGTCGGACTTCAGATGCGATGCTTTCATCCGTCGTACATTTGAGGTCCATTCTTTTTGCCGCTGTCTCTTGTGGTGACGGTGTTTTACATCGTAGTTCGCAGCCGTCCGATGACAAGGAGATTGGTTTATCGCAGTCAAACTGAATGAGTGTGTAGTCTCTTTTCGGGATTAACACTGGGCTTCCTCGTCAGGGGTCCCCTTTCTGAACGGTAGCTTTCAGGGGTTTTGCCTCCTCCTTTTTCTTCTGTTTATCGATCTGGGCCTTTTTCGCCTTTGTCATGAATGGTTTAAAGATTCGCTGTGGTTCTTTTAATTTTCTATTCATCGACTGACATATCACTTCATCTTTGTTTTCAATCGGTTAGCATTTTGGACTCTTTGATGTTAATGGTTGTAGTACTGGTTTGTCTGCGGGTTTTGGGGTTGACTTTCATCCATTTTCTTGAAGGTTACTTTTTCTCCTACGTCTGAAAATGTGGTTTTGCCCTTGGTAATATGCAACAAATTGTTTTAATTGTGCCGGTCTTTACTTGCCGTAGACTCTTGGGTCCAGTACGAATGCTAGGACGTCATGCCTAAATACCCGTGGCTGTTTACCGTCCTCCCGTATCCACGCTAACGATTGATCCGTTTTCAATTATTTTAAGTTGTGCACCGAACACTCCGTGGTTTTTTGTTTTTCGAGCTGTTGTTTCGAATTTTCTAGTTTCTGGTTCGACATGTTTTCGCAGTTTGGGGTCAACGGTGTTTTGTGGTCCCTTAAAACGATCTCTTAGAAAGACTAGATGAGCTCCTTCTAATCTTTGTTTTTATTGTACGGTTAGCCAACGGATTGGTTTTTGTCGCTGCTATCTAGTCTGACTGGTTTATCTGTTAGACACAAGCTGTCCCAGGTTGTCTTCTTCTGTTTTTCCAATTATACGGTTGCCTGTATCCATTTGATCTCCCTGATTGGGTGTTGTTGTGTCCTGCGCTGAATTCTCCTCCGTTGGTTTGTAAGTTGGTTCGGGCATGTCAACTCTTTTCTCTATATACATGGCCCAGTTCATCTTCACTATTCTGCTCCCAAATCCGCATTGCCACGGCTGGTAATGCAGTTTTCTTTAGGATCTTTTTGACTAAACACGAAAGTTTTGTGTTTTCCCATGAGAGGTTAGAGGCTTTAGGTGATGTGCAAATGTAGCACTTAGTGGTCCGTTGAGCTTACACACAGAGTGGGCTTCGAAGGTTGTAGTTTTTGTGGTCGCAATTAGTGTAATGCTCAATGCCTTGAGTAAATCTGCTACGTCGGAGGCAAGTTCATGCGGTTGAAACTTTTTTTCGATTGTCATGACTGACAGTCTAGTTTTTAAGAGTTCTAATTAATCTTGCGACCATACCATTAAACGGTGATCATCGACCGGTGCTAAGATCAAATTAACATTTTTATTTTTAGAGTTCGTTATAAATTTTTTCGCTCCAAGCCCTTTGTCCTGATTGTCTTGATCGCAACGAATGTTCGGTGGCACGCTGCGGTTTACGATATGTGTTTCCTTGAACTTTATTATAGCCTCAGCCTCATTATTAGCAACAGCTTTTGCCGACGGCAATCGCGAGAAGCTGTTTACTTAGACTAGGGTATACACATTGTTGTTTTCATCCGGTAATTGTCCCGCGAAGTCCAACTAGTTTTGTTCAATAGGTTCCACCACTGCATCAAATGTGGTAAAATGCTATTCCCGTAGATTACTTTTAAGTTCTTGCCCTTTTTTCGGCATTCTCGGCAGTTTTCGGCTGTTCACCCAATGTCTCGGAGCAGGTATGGATACCTGGATGTGTCAAGTGAAATTAGTCAAGTAGTTTTTGCCTCATTTACTTCGGAATGACCACTCGCTCGTCGTAAATTAGGATATTGTCTCAAACTGACAATTCGTCTCGTACGTTGTAGAAGTAGGGTCCGTAGCAGGCTTTCATGCTTTGCCATTTCTGCTGGCGTACCATTTTGATTAGTTACTGGCAAGGCCTGTATCTTTTAGTGGCAGCTGCTATAAAGTCGATATGAAGGGCTGTTCGCAAATTCCTTCGGTAAATTGGGATATTCGCCACGTCCATCTTGATCAGTTGGCATTCGACGTTCTGGCTTGAATCTGTTGTTTGGCATAATTTAACTGTATTCACTATATATTTTGAGGGGACTGATCGATTTGAATTGCTATGAAATTTAAAGTCTGAGTTAGAGCAAATTCTGCAACTGAACTTGTGCATTTGAGGTTTAACAGTGATTGCAGTTGAATTTGAGTTCATTTTTATAATCGACACAAAGTTTTGTCTTGAATTTTGAGGCAAGCTATGAAATTTTCAATAAAAGCTACAACGAAGTATTCATCCCAGGACGCCGAGTTGGGGTTTTCCCACTGGGTGACATAAAACATAGTCGATTAGCCCCATTTTACTGCCTGAAGGATGTTTGATATGAAAGTCGGAGGGAAGGAGACATTCTACTCATCTTGTTAGAGGAAGTTGATATGTTTTTTCGTTTTTGTTGCTCGGAATTGCACTTGCAAAAACTTGATGGTCAGCAATTAGGGTAAAAATTTTACCGTATAGGTGACTTTTAAACTGTTCGACGGCCTATACCGCGGCCGGTAACTTCAACGCGTTCACGGAGTATTTACTTTCACGAGTACTCACAAAGCGAGTTGCGTACGCTATGCTAGCCTAGCCATCGGGTGTTTCTTGTTCTAAAGCCGCTCTGACACCGTATCGGCTTGCGTCACATACTATTCTAGTTTCACGGTTACTTGCTTATGTTCTGTAAAAATGCTTAAGTGCAAATGTTCTGTAAAATTATGTACCGCGTCCAGAATGTTTTTGGAAGCTTTTTTGTGTTTTTTTTTACCATACGAAAAGAAATTTATTAGCTGTTGATGATAGCGGTCTTAGTGGGTCGCATAGTTTGGCAAGGTTTGATATAAAATCAATTATATGGTGAACGGGTTCTATAGAGCTTTTGAGTTGCTCAAATTTGTTGGATGTTGGAGTTAAGTAATGGCTTCGGTGAACTGGTTCTATAGAGCTTTTGAGTTGCTCAATTTTGTTGGATGTTGGAGTTAAGTAAGGGCTTTGGTTTTCTTATGCATTGGTATTGTGCAGGGTTCCTCGACTTGCGCTTGTCTATAGAGATGACCATGGTTTCTTGATCTAATTTATCTAAAACCTTTTTCAGTTTTTCAATGTGGTGTTCTTTTATCGCATGAGATACAATCTGTATATCGTCTAAAAATCCGACTTTGTCCTTTTCATTATTCAAAGTTAGATCAATGGCTTTCTGGATTTCTGCGAGAATATCCGTTAGCCCGTAGAACCCAATTTCTAACTGATAAGTAATGTTCCTGTTGCTTGGCCTCCTATTATGCTGAAATTACACTGCGTTCTAGTTGTGTCATTTAGTTTTAGTTGACTGTATGCATACCAGAGGTCAATTGTTAAAAAAATTGAGGAGCCGGGCTTGTCGCTGCCTTCTTGCGCTGATTGAGCCACGTTGCGTAGAAAAACGTTTACATTAGGCATTTGATTTTCGTTCATATGGATTGCCTTGCTTATTTGTTTTCAGTCCATGGCCAGTTTTATAGTTTGGTCTTTTTTGACAGTTCAGTTATAAATATAGGGTTGATAAATTGTTTATTGCTGCAGCCCCTGAACTTCACAATATGGCCTTGGTCAATTAGAGATTTTATTTTTTTTCGACATTTAATTGGATGTTGATTGGGATTCTTCGTCCTTTTTGTTTGAGCGCTTTTCTGTCGCTTAAGTATTTTTTATGCACCATGCGGTTTTGTGAACGTCCAATACGTAAGCGAAGTCCTGAGTATGTTGATTTTACCCAATAGGTTTTCACTGTTTCTCATTGGTTATCATCTGAGACAAAATTCATTGACTTACCAGGTAGTTTTTGTTGGTTTAGGTGGATGCCGATTAGGGTTAAGAGGTTTCTACCCAAGATGTTTGCCCTCTTGTCTTCTACCACGATGAAAGAAGCGGTAATCACTGTCCAGCCTCCAGATTCATTTTGGGTAATAATTCTTCTGAATGGTGGTATTCTGTACCCGTTGCAGCACACCCTTCTGTTTGCCTCGTCGTTATCTCCCAGTTGAATTCGTTTGACGTTTTGACCGATAATTGCGGTGTGGTAGCTGTTTTTTGTTATCAAACGACTTAAGGAATCTTGTATTGGCAATGAAGACCGGGTTGTTATTGACTGATCTGATTCTATTTAGGTGTCTTTTCAGGTCGTCCCCGTTATTTGATCTACCTGTCGATCTTGGAAGTGAACAGCTTTTTTTGTTGTGTCATTCGGTTGGAAAAGTTCCCATTCTGGAATTGCATCCCTGCCTGTAGGTAGCCACTATATGCAGCCATATCTGTGTCTTGAGTCGTTTGTTCTCGGCTTTGTTCGTCTTGGATAGCGTTAATCTTGGAGGATATGGCATTGTGGCCTCGTTTAGTGCATCTGTTACAAATTTTGTCCTTCGCTGGGCATTGCTGAAGGTGACCAGGTCCAAAAGGTTTCCCACATTTGAAACAGATTTGTTTTTGATCGGCTCCCTGGCGATAATAATTTCCCCTTTGCGGTTGCGAACAACCTTTACCGCCTCTTCAAGCATTCCTGCTTCTGTTTCCTCTCCTTTGTATGAATCCCAGCTGGTTCAAATTTTATTCCCGTCTCTTGATTTGTCTTGATTTGACAATCCTCGTGCTAACTGTTTGCGGATTTGAATGTGATTGTCACGTCCCTTTTCTCTGCGTATTGCGAATTCAAAAGGTTGTTCTGGAGTTTCCGTTTCCGCCAGGAAGACTTTTTGTACCTCGTTGTTCACTATATTGGCGGTAAAATTTCTCCTATGATTCCAGACCACCATCCTGGCAATAAGGGCTTTTAAAGTTTCCTTTTACCATTAATTCTGTCAAGCCGCAATGGAATTGTTCGAGTATTTCTGTTTTGACTGTTTTCTTGTGAACCTTTCATACCTGTCAAAAGAATTATTGCGGTCTTTGTTGAATAGATGTTGTAGTCCTGTCCAAAAGTTTCTAGTTGTGTTTTCCTTGATTTTTAAGTCTGGGTACTGTTGACTTACTCGTCATTGCCCTTCGTTTCCTAGGCTGTAAGATATACGTAGCTGCAAACCTTAATATTGGTTTCCTCCCACGGTATTCTGCCCACTGTGGGTCCCAAAATTTCAAATTGAACGGATTGATTTTCCCACTAGACTCTCTTTTCTTGATTACGAATACCTCTATCTCTTGTTTGAGTTTGTGTTTCTCCTTCTATTTGGAGTTCCTATCGAGGCTCTTGTGGTTTTCTAATTGGGGGTGGATCTCGTAGCAGCTTTTGCAATCATCTTTTGCGATCAAGCCTATGATAAGTTGTTGATTCGATTTTCCCCACTCGATCGGAGGCTCCGCTGAGGCTTTCTGCCAGAACGGTGCGATAACCAGTGGGTTTTTTGTTACTCCTGTAAAGTTTATAGGTAAGCGATCTATGCGTTGACAGATTAACTAAGTAAAACGTTTTAAATAAAAATCAGAAGATTCTTTAGCAACTTGAACTCATTCGGTTAAAGTTACGTCAAAATCATGAGAGAGATAGAGACTCAAAAACACCTATTGAATATAGCGTTAGTTTTAATAGTTACTCAATTAAATCAGACATCTGTATGAAAAAGTTAAGTTTCAATATCATCAAGTATGGTTATCACATAAGATTTAAGCTTAGTTTTTTAGTATTAATCAGTTTTCTATTGATATCCGATATATCCGTACGGATAACACTTTTGCTACAGTTTTAATGTTATAAAACTACTTTTTTTTTAATTTCAGCAATTTTTACGCTTTATTTGTGCTGTTTATTGTCTTTCAGTTATCCCCTCTACTTAAAAAAAATAACAGCAAGGTGATCCATTTCTTGAAAAAACTACTCGATGTTTGATTTGTGCTTTGATTAAGTTTTTCTGCCAAAATACTCCGAGCTACTTGCACTGCAACTGACTTTTCTTGTTTTCGCATGAAATAGAATGAAATGAAAAAAAAATACACAATCCAATCTATCAAAATTTTCAGTCATCGAGAAAACCCTTGTGCTGTTTTAATAGCATACTGTGAGTCTAATTTACTACATTATTTCAGCAAAAAAACTATGATTTATATTTCGTTTTCGTTTTTTTTTGGCACACCGGGTTTGAAGTTTAGGTGATGTGTATGTTTAGGGCCATTCCTCATTTTCCACGCGTTCCTGCTCACACTGCCAGTTGCCATGATCGCCATTGGTGAGTCATTACATCACACTCAACCGAATTCACGAAGCCGGATTATTATCTACGAATAATTTTTGGAAAAGGCAATATCTAAAAAAATATATTAAAAAGCAATCTGAATGCTCAGGAATTTGCTTTGGTGGGTTGTTTTTCTTTTTTTAATGTTTACGTTTCGGTCACTATTTAAAAATTTTTTTTCTTATCATCTTTGAATTAATAGTATTGTTCTTTCAATATTTCTCAAATAGTAACATTTATAACAAAAACTGTGCAGACCATCAAAATCAAAATTGTGCCACTGTCATTAGGATCTACTTTTGCTAATTAAACCAGAGTTTACACAAACGGTCGGTAGAAGATTTTACAACTAATATAACAAAACTGCGATTTACTGCTTAACTCCTCTGACAGTTTAAATGTTGCCTGAGTAGCAGAAACGAAAAAAGTTTGTTTTCGTAAATGGGAAATTGCCCAATAGTGTGTATTTAATTTTTACCCGCGTGTATCTAATTTACTCAGTAGAAGCGCACTTCTGACGTAAAAGCAGTACAACTTAACAACCAATCGATGGCGACTGAAAAACTTCTAGAAGAATTTATCAGTTTGAAATCAAATTAGCATCAAATGATAAACGTTTTTAGCAAGAACAGATTTTATACGGTATGTCAATCAACGCTTTCGCATGATAACAAAAACGCCAGAGTATTCTTTTTTCATCTTTTCTCTGTCAATCAAAATCTCTGCTTCGCTTCTAACAACCAACTTTTTTTCAGGAGGCTCCAGCTACAATCAATGCACTGCGGAGGAACTACTGCCTCTGTGGCTTATAGTATTCGGCATAGTGGCACTGTTCTGCCTGGTGATACAGCTGCGAAACATCAGTGGCTTACGTCACAACTCCAATGATGACAACGACAGCGACAGCACCTCCAGTTCCATGCGCGTCACGGGAAGCGAGGACGAGAGCCAAGAGAACATGCAGGGCGCCAAATATTTCAACATGTTCATGCTCGTGTTCCTCCTCGGGTGGTTTGCATGGGGCAACTACTTAGTGTTCAGAATATACCCCCCTCATTACGGAATGCCGAGCCAGCCCCCCTTTGAATACTGCACCCACACTCTCTACCTGTTTTCGCTAGTCCTGGTCCTTTCAATTCACTGCTTTCTAATCCTGTTTGGTCTCGTGGTGTTTATCGTGGCCTGTGTGTGGCACAGAAAGAGCAGTCAGTATGACGATCTCAATGGCCGCTGATCATTTTTAAAAAAGAAGATCTTTTTTAAGAATAGAGCCGCGAAAGAGTGATTTCTTGTCATATATGAGTCATGCGATTGTGTCATAATTTGATCTCATTCATTTCATTAAACATACAATACATTTGAGTTTATCGCTATTAATTCTAAGTTGTAAGTTCAAAACTTTCTTTTCTCAGAATGAAGGCTTCTGCATTGAAAGTTTGACTAACTACGCTACTAATCACGAATGAATCCAACGTTTTTGCAATGATTCTCACATAGTTTTTAGTCATCAACGGTTCTCACAGAATGTTCACGTAGGTAACCACGGTTTTTGCGAGAAAGAGGGGGGGATTATTTCAAAAACGCAAATCAAAAATTATACCTAAGATGGCGATGAGGTTTCGAGGAAAGTATTGGAGCAAACAAAGTCTCGTATTTTGAAGTTAATGTTGAGACGATTCATCCACAAGAGAAATGAGCAACGTACAAGCTGCTCAGCTTCAGCTCTGCGCAGAGAATTGCATTCAATTTTTTTTTGTTTTTTTTTGGGCAGGGTAATGTTGCCTCATCACCTTCAAGCAACAAGCACGGATCATAGTGGGCCTCGATTATCTGACATTGAGAGACGAAGACGTAACCCTAACTCTGAGCGCTGGTTAATATGATTCAGACATTACGTGCATCAGAAACTAGAGAAGACTGCTCGTATCAGGGCGAAAACATGAATTTCGAGACGAACCGAAAACGTATAGTATAGAAAAAAGATTCATCGAAGCAGCGTTTATTATTACACTAACTTTTCTAACCTCACTTTGGAATGATGTATGAAATCTTTTTAACTAGTCTGCCTCCTCCTATTGCAAGAAAAGGACACGTTTGTTTGTTAAGTAGAAACATACCATATGCTCAACCATTTAATCAATCCGCTAATGGGCTACATATTACGAAGTGCCGGGGGGGGGGGGGCAAAGATTTTCATTTAGGAGCCAATTTAAATAGCTATCTACGCTAAGCCACAATATTAAAAAAGAATGCTCTGAAAATGATGAAGCCTTGACTGATCTCACTTAAACGCCCTTTAATGTACTTAAACTAGCTTTTTTCAATATAGTAGATAAGGTTTATTGAAAAAATATTTAAAAGTTTATCAGAAACCTAACACAAGCGCCTTCAAGTAACAGATCACAGTTGGGTCAGCCCAAAGGTTCTCTAAATCATCCTGATGCCCAAAATTTTCTCCATGTTCGAGGCTGGCTTACACCTATTAAATCATTTTTAAATCATATTTTAAAAATGATTTAAAAGTAAACGACGAACACCATGTTGATGTGTGGCGGTAAGGAGATACTTTGTGAAAAAAAGGATGAATAAGCCTTTCTAAAATTTTAACAGCGGGGCAGAGTAAAGAGATGGGCCTATAAGAAGTGGATAATTTATGGTCCTTTTCGGGTTTGGGTAGGGGGATTATCTTCCACATTTGAGGGATGATATTTTCAGACAGTGACATAATTTCAGACAGCGAGGGTTTGCTGTCCGCTATGGTTTGTTTAGTTCGTATAATCATTTTTACAACAATGCTCTCTTGAAGCCTACGCGTACTTCTGCTGAATATCGGTACCTACTTTTTCACTTTTTATTTTATGCTCCGACTGACTTCTTTTGCCAGGAAGGATTTTAAAAACTTCACCTGCGACCAATTGTTTTGAATTAATTACCCTTGCAATAAGCAAGGGTATTGCAATCGGGAACCAAGAATTTTTTCCGCGAATAATTTTGTTCACAAAACAGTCAATTTTATAGGAACGGTAAGTTTCAATTTTTTGAAAAATCAACTAAAATATGTGATATGCATAAACTTGCATTTCAGGTTCTGAAACGCTGGTTTAATTTTTTCACAGGTCTTACCTTATCTTAATTGATAATGTCTTACCTTATCTTAGTTGATAAATAAGGTGGGGAAAAATCTGCGGTATGCATAAACGCGCATAAAATTGCAACTAATCGCTGTTTCTCTGATTATCTTGTGGAAGACCTGTGGTATGCACGAACGTGTTTCAGTGCCTAAAATGCAAGTGTATGCATACCGAAGGTCTTCCCCCCTGTATTTGAAGAAAGTAATCATTTGGTTGATAAATTGATTTTTTCTCTCTGAATATGGCGGGGAATGCCCGTGGAATGAATGAACGTGCATTTCAGGCTCTGAAACAATCGTTCATGCTTTTAATCATTCTTACCCTATCTTATTTGAAGAAAAAGATCAATTAATTGATAAATATAATCTTTTCTCTAAAAATAGGGTCAGACGACCAACGGTATGCAAAAACGTCCATTTCAAAGTCCGAAACGCACGTTTATGCATAAACAAGGTTTCCTCGCCATAATTAGAGAAACAAAAACTTGATTTGCTTTTCACTAACTTTGCTGAAGAAAGACTTGTGGTATGTATAAACATGTGTTGCAGGCCCTGAAACGCGCGCTTCTGCATACTACAGATCTTTCTCATTTTTTACTTTTCAAAAAGGACAGTTCAGTTCGTAACTGTCGTAACTCTTAACTGTATTTTTCTATTCGTTTTAAATGCTCTTAACGTTGGTGCTTATACATCGGATACTGCATCGAGAAACATTCTTTTAGTTAGACGATACTCCTGGAGGTTCAGACTCTCTTTCAACAGTCTCAGAATCCTAGTCAATTTCACGTTCATATTTTTGTGCTGCCAAAGTTTCCAGAATTCCTGGTGTACTTCCATAGGTCCTATGTCACCATAATCCATCCTGTCACAGAAAAGAATGTTGAAGTTGATTGTTATCAACTCTGGTTCTGTATTCTTTCCAAACAACAGATCCTCGATCATGGGTTCTCTAAGAACGCTCTGCACGCACCAATTAGTGTTGTTTCATCAAATGTTGAAATGAGGTTCAGGTGCTGTACTGACCTCCTGTAGGTTACCCACTTAGGGTCAGAAAACACAAATGTTAGATTCAGTTTCTTCGTCCTTGACGCCGTTGCTTTTTGCATGTCAAATTTCTTGAAAGGTTCGTGATTTTGCTCGGCGTCTGATGTCTAACTTATGGCAACAAATTTCAGCAGAACATCGAGCCAAAGGTTTCACACTCCCTCTGTCAGCAGTACGACAGGTTACTTCTGGAAAATCTCAGCTCCAAACGTCACGAACAAGGCCAGGACTAATACTATAGATAGTCCATTGACTGTTTCATGAAGTCCCCAATCAAGTAGCGTGAGTGTCCAGGGTATATGTTTGGTCGCAACCACTTGTTCGACTCTGAATTAGTATTCAAAACCAAAGCCTCTAATTTAATGTCCATCTATCTCACGTTCTGATGTTCTGTAGCTTCGTTCTGTAGCATTTCTCAAATTTTTCTTCTCCATCTCTCGAGTGGGTCACGGATTTTCACATCGTACTTCCTTTCCGCCAGCAGCGCAACCACGGCAAACATGAGTTTCAATTGTGACATCCAGAGGCCGAGTGACATCGCGGAAGCAAAAACCAGTTTACCAAATGAGCCGATTCAACGATCGAAAAACAGCCTTGTTGCAGAAGCGAATATCAACCTCCAAAAGGCGGAAGAATACAGGAGAAGTGAAGGAAGTGACTCAGAGGATGACAAACAACTGCGTAGGCAGCAACAAAACGCCGATTCCAGAATCCCAAAAGAACGAAATCAGCCCACACATGTCACCTCCGAAGGGCGGAACCGAAGCAGGGGCAGTTAAAACTTGTCTATCAAAGAAGCAAAACCGAAAACTGTGGGATAAAAAACAATAACTTTGAAGTTAGAGTATCAAGTGACAATCGGAGAAGAGCAAGAAACCAAAAGTGCGAGAAGCAACGAGGCAAAAACCTGTACAAATAGTTAAAGGGTAGCGAGAGAAAACTAACGTTGATGAAACTGAAGGATCGAATAGGAGAACTATTTTGACATCTAAAAAGCTGCTAGACACTCAAAAAACGGAGCAAAGAAAAACAAAACTACAAAACCAGAGGATATAGACAACGCGTTTCAGCCTCAGGGTTTGTAACAAAGGAGAAAGGAGGAAAGGAGTGTGAATACCTAGCAGAGGAATACAGAAGATCTCATTTAAAATAGCCAGGAAAAACAACCATATTGAGGAAGGGGACTCGAAGTTTGACCCTACACCGGGATGTTCAAAAAGCATAGGTCAAAAAGATCCACAAGTGAGAAGTTAAAGCACCATTGCCAGCGTACAGAGGGAAATTATCTAAAGTCAAAAACATGACAGACTGGCCTCTGTCTGAGAGTTGTGTGGGCTGCTGAGAAGGCATCCAATAGAAAAATAAGCTGAGCAGAACTTGTTGGATCCCAAGAAAATTTCCGCGCTGAAGGTTGGAACTAGTAGACAATTGAAGAAAAAGGAGAAAAAAGTACCAGGATACCCTTACAAAAAAAAACTAAAAATCTGAGCACTAAAATGCTATTGTTGTTATAAAGTTTTCTAATATGTATTGTTATAACTGTCATGTTGAGCGGGGAATGTGGTACTGCACTGGCAGTAACCTTGATGAATTTTGTAATGAACATATTTATTTTGTTGTTTGTTCAGACCAAGGTCATTGTTGACCAAGTTCTATTGCAACTGTATTCTTCAATCTGCGTTATGCTATAGCTCACGTGAACAACTCTTTGTTTCACATCTCACAAATCCCTTGATTATAACATTAAGGCGTTTCACAATATTCTAGAAGTTACAGTGACAGGAACTATTAAATTTATAGAAACCTATAATTTTTCATTTGCTCAAAGTTTTCTCTAAATTTGTTTTGGTCGTGTTACACTGCCATCTGAATTGAAAACTTTAAGTCAGAGACGTCCAAAAACGGACATAAATTGACAAATGGCAATCTCTCAAACTGGTTTCTCTTGAGATAAATGATTGATATATAGAAAAGTTAGACTACTTAAGAAAATACAAACATTAGAAACATTGTCTTTATTTAACATTAAAATTTAATTTCGAAAAAAAATCAATGCATCAGTTTGAAACTACTTTTCAAAATTCTTTGATCGAAACACTCTTAAATAGCAATCTTAGGTTAAAAAAACTTTTAAAAGTCCCATTTATTATGTTAAGGTTAACGCTGCTTGTCTACGAGAAAAGGCTCCAACATACGAGATGCTCAAATCTTTACTGATAGACATTTGTTTCGAAAATTTTTCTGCACTAAAACAACGAGCTCGGATTATGGAGGATGTCGCAACACAGACCAATCATTTAGAAGGAATCTAAACGGCTCCGCCAACGTTTCCATAAAAGTGATTTTTGATTTTTTTCAACCTCAAAGGTCTGTTTAATACTTTGTCAAAAACATTTTAATTGAGAATAAAGTTATTGGAGTAATTGCACAAGATCTCTATATTACAGTTCAGGTCACTCGAGGCACGTGAAAGCCAAATATGATACAAGAGCAGTTAAGCTTACAAAATAGAGATAGAGAAAAAGAAGATCCGATCCAGCAGCAACTGTGTGCCACTTATCGTGCACATAATCCATGTACTCTCGCTCTTTCAGAATATTCAGTCGTCGAGAAATCTCCCTCAAATAGTACTCCAATATGGAGCTGCGGATGTCCTCATAAGAGCCGGAATTGGAATGTCTTCCAACGGCCCTTGTTGCATCTAAAACAAAACGGGCCAAAAATTCAAGTAAAATTAGAAACTGAATAGTGAATACCCCTGCAAAGCACGCCAAAATTACAGTCTCAATATTTATATGAACCCGTCACGTTAAAGGAACAACCCTAAAAGTTTTGGCCAAAAGACTCCCAATTTTATCAAACGCGTGTTTAGCACCAATTTATAAAAAAAATTGAGGGTGCGGGCGACGGAGAAGGCTACTTGTTGTTTTGAAAAATTAACCAAAAATATCAAAAACTGAATTTCAACCAGTAGCGGATTTAGGGGGGCAGGGGGGGGGGCGGACGACTCCTTTCCCCCTCCTCAGGGAATCGACCCCGTGCCGACCCAAAGGGTCCCCCCTTTGTACTATTTTGAGATATCCATATTTGCTGACGAACCCTAAAAGTTTTCTAAAGGCGCCTTTGGCGCCAATCTATACTAATTTTGAGAGGGGAGCGCGCGCGGAAAAAAACGCGATTTTTTGGTCGAAATTTGTCAAAAAGTGCCTAAAAACGCCTTTTTTTAACGTTTTTTCAAAAATATGCCTGCGGCGCAGAAAATTTGGTAAAATATGTGTCTTTATAGTGGTTTGGGAGAGCTCAGAAAATCAATTTAGTCGACCAATTTTTTTTTTGAAAATCCCCACCCCCCTCGAGAAATTCCGGGTAAACAATTATGAACAACCTTTTATGTTTTTACGATAATGTAGTATTGAAGTACAACCAACCAATCACGACGTAAAAAGCAAAGAGTTCCTGAGATTGTGGAAGATCTCTACATGCTAAGACTTTCCTACTAGCTGGTCTTAGACGGGTTAAACCTAAGCCAGGTTGAAAAAACCTCAGCCGGATTGGTTAAAAATAAGCCGTGGAAAAACTCAAAAACTTTTGACCATCTTTCACTCCCACACACAGTGTGACCTTCTTTCAATTCAGTGACTTAATGAACACAATAAGTGTTTGCTCATAGCCAAAAATTTAAAAAAATAACCATTAACTTTCAGCTTAACATCCTTGGGCCATCTTTAATTGCCACAGAGTTTGACCTTCTTTCAAATCAGTTGCCTTTTGAATACGTGAAGTTCTAATTCAAGCTTTTTTTTACGAAATACGACCATTTAGTTTTGATTTTAACTGTCAAAAACTTTTATCCTCCTGATTTGATCTATAACCTTTTGAAGATCGACGTATGTACGCCACATTTTTTCAGACACAAACAAAAGCATAACAAAATATTTTGTATTCAAAAGATCGCAAAATTAGATTAAAAAATAAAATGAGATAAACCAAAATAAAAATTGATGTAATTAAAACTTACCTAACGACTATCAATTATAGTTGAAATTACTTGAAACGGCCGCAAAAGTTTTGCTATGCAGAAAAACTCCAGGCTTTGGAAAGTCAGCTATCAAAAAACGAGTAGAGAAATTGTAGTTCGACATTTTAAGTTTTCCCAAAAAAATTCAGTTACCGCCTATGTTAACAAGATCTGGCCAGGACTTGATTACTAAACCTCATGTTCCGAAAGCTTTTTATTATTCATTTCTCAAAAAAGACAAATCATTTTTGAAATTGTCACTTCCCTCTTGGAGCTTCCATGGATAATAACCGATTATAAAGGGTTTTCAAGGTCTGTCCACTTGCGATTAAATAAACAAAGAAAAAAAACTAGTTCTACTAAAATTAAATTTTTGTCTGTCTCGATTAAAGTTCTTTCTAGGCTAACATGCCAGAAAATTGATTGTTGAATAAGTAACGGAACACAACTTACAATGAGTAAACACAGCCAAAAATCTTTGAGCAGATATAATTTGAATAGAAAAAATATGATTTCATAATTTTTTAAACAGTTTTGAGTCCCATCTGAGACTAGAAAAAACTACACTTGCACTTTCAACTACACGGGAAGTTGCCTACATCACAAGTAAATGAAAAAAAGGTGATGTGGCAACTAAGCTGACAATCTTTGAGCAGACACCTGTTGAGCCGACAAAAAGACTATAAAGTCCACCTACCTGAAACTACAAAGAACAACACTTGCAATTACAAACAAAGTTACACACAGAACAAACAAGATGTGCAAAGCGGCAACTAAGCCGACAAAAATTTTGCCGAATAACGGAAGTCCAACAACCAAGTTTTTACCAATTTTTTTTTCATTTGGATGCTGAAAAAAATAAGGTCCGGCCGTGAGTCAAACACCAGAACTTAAGGTACAAAAGCGAAGTCGTTAGCTCTAGGCCAAGTGGGAGGGAACCTGGATGTTGTGAAGTTTCAATAAAAAAGCAAGTTGAAAAAGAAAACATAAAACGTGTAGACAAAGTTGTTTACTGGAAAACTGTATTGCTCCTGACTTCAATACACTTGCTCTCGCAAGTGTAATCCTGCCTGATCTAGTCGAAAAAGAATTTCTTCTCTCGAAACAACGCAGTATAAGCTCTTTATGCCTTCAAAGATTAGCTAAAACCGTTTTAATCGAAAAAGAATTAATAAAAAATGAAATTAAAAAATCAGACTTGGTGTCATGGCAAGTTACAAATTTTCAACGACAGTAAAAACAAATTCAAATCAAAACAAAATCCATGCCTAACAAAAAGTCCGGAAAAAAAAACCAATGGTTAACAAATTGGAAAAAACGGGAAAGTCACAGACGGAAATTAGGCCGAAAAACGCGAATCTGGAAAAAATTCAACATACTTTGTAGAAAAATATGTGAATAATCACTAACACCGGAATTGGGCTACACTTGAAGGTATTTTAATTTGAATTTTCAAGAAACTGAGTATGTGTGAATTTTAATGCAGTAGTTTTGTTCGAATTTTCATGAAATTGAGCATGTCTGAAATTGACCATGAAGATGAGCATGACCAAAATTTATGCCCAAAGTATTTTTGTGGAAAAGAGAAATCAGTTTAAATCAATATAATTGATTATAATGGATCATAATTTGTTTTACGCAGTAGCCTGGATTTTACAAATTTTTTCCGTCTAATTTCAAAACTTAAATAATGCAATTGTTAAATTGAGATTTACATTTGGCTTGTAAATTTTTAGTGAGAGTTTGGCGTGGCGGGTGTTTTTGACATTGTGGTATTTCTCACGGAAGGTTGCTGAAAGTGCGCTGGATTTAGTTTTGTTAGAATTGAGTAGAATTAACTAGGTTTAAAAATCCAGCAGGCTGTGAGAATTATTGAAAAAGCTGCAAATTTGGAAAAGTTTCAGACATTGTAATTCATTATAATCCATTATAATGGATTTTAAATAGACTATAATCAAAATTAATGGATTAAAATTTATTATACTCGATTGTGTGGTCTCAAAGTGTAACTATAATTGATTATAATGTCAAAATTTTTGACGACAAAAATCGATTATAATCGTTTATTATCCATGGAACCTCTTTGCGGTTTGTTTGAATTTTATGCTACGTAATTAGAGGGTTGAAAAGACCTTATTGCACCAAGAAGTTCAAAAAAATCGTTTCAGAGAGATATAAACCTGGATGAGTTCTTCCAAATATGCACGAACTGAAAGAGTGTTTCTTTAGAAATACGAGCATCTGATGCATGCAAGGAAAATCGGATGGCATAGCGACTCACTTCAGCATAAACGTTGGAAAATTTGGATAACGTGGTAAGTTTGCTGCCGTCTCAATAAGTTTTCGGCGTGGTCAACTCATATTCAAAATTGGGGTTATTCACACACACGCGCTAAAATTCGGAACTCCCAGGTGATCATGTCTGCGAGTTCAATTTATAAACATTGATGCATGTCCTTACTTTTCGGATTTCTCAAAGGAAATCAATTATTTTCTTTCATGTTACAATGAAGGTTATGAAAATTATGAAATCCTTGATGTGTCCCGTCTGCGAGTTTGATTAATAAACACTGATGCATAACTTAACTTTTGGAATTCTTTGAGGAAATCAAGTATTGTCTTTTTTTTTAAATGAATTAATGACGTTGAATGATTTTAGAGACCAATTTAATGTCTTTCTCAAAGCAAAAACGGCTCTTTTTCCTTCACCCCACCAAAATTCCCCGCGCCACCACTTCACCTAAACATTAATCAATTTTATAGGGGTAAAGAGGGGTTTTAATTGATTATGGGGTAACGAGGCAAAATACATGAAAATCAAATATGTTTGTCACAGCCTAATTAGTCCGCATGTCAGTTTTTGCAACAATCGGACAGTGTGAACAAAAAAATACTTATAAAAACTCCCAGGTGCGGCATAAGGAAAAAAATTGCAAAGATTTCCACGGCGTGCTTTTAGCAGATGCCAATTAGCGGATGGAGCAACTAGTGACATTAACTCCTACAAAAAATCTGCCCAAAAACCTTTGCCTTTCGCAGCAAAAAAAACAAGTATTAGGAAAACATGTTTTTGACAGGTCAGAAAAGGATAAACTGGCCAGTTTTTCTATCATATCCAGCCACATCCTCCTTGTAAATTCTAGATCTGGAGAGCATGGTTCGAGGAGAACATTTGCTTTCTCCCTTTATAGAAAGACCACTAAGCCCATAAAATAAGGGAAGATGCTGACCGTATAGTTGCAACACCCACCCAAGTGGTCTAACTGAAGACACTTACCCTTCTGATAATTAGCACCTGATCCACCACCGCTTTCATCCTCATGTTCATCCACTGATCGCTGTTGGCCTCTTGAGATGTAATAAGCAACATTGAACTCGTTGAATTTTTTGTCGCCCATTGCTTCAAACCAATTCGATTTGCCCTCGAAGTTGTTCCTGTTGAGATTTTCAGTGATGAGCATCATATGAATAAAAAACTTGTTGATTCAAGTTTTCGGATCTACTTTACGCCGCATGATATCTACTAAAGAATATCCGCTTCTTAAAAAACAGTAAATTGGTAATGAAGCTTTTTACTGAGAATTCTAATTTTGCTCCATTCTGATTTTTCGCAAATTCGACCAACTTAATCTGCACAACAATATCCCCCTTCTCGAAGTATATCCCAGTTTTCCATTAAGAGAAAAATGTTGGAAAAACGCATGATCGATGTAATATATCTTGTTACACAATTTTAGTCAGGCATTTTTTCACAACTGAAAAATTAGACAAAATTAGGTTGAGGTTATTTTTCGGCCACGGACTGAGACTTATTGTTCCGACTTTTGATACGAAAGTAACGGAATATTTGTGCTCGGGGTGGGTTTTTTTTTCTTCAGACAAATTTCTACTTTTTAACTAGCCATTTTTGACGGAATTTTTTTTATATCATTCAAAAGGTATTGTTGTCTTGAGCTTAAATTTGAAAAGATATTTCACCTGTGATCGTTCTTCGTAAAGTTATGAGGGTTTAAAGATTGCCATTTCGGCCATTTTGACCAATTTGGGACAATTAACGCGCGGTATAATTCGCGCTATTAACGCGTAAGCGAAGATTTAATCCGTCTTGTAAATCGCTCCAAATTAGTTGAACGAAGCTTATTTGCCATAATTGATTTGTTACAAGGAACGAAATCTCTCTTTTTATACTTTATATGGCCTGTGAGGGGATGATTTTCATAAAAAACTTTCAAATTTTAGAAAAAAAAATTTCATTGTATTTTAAGTCATTTAATTTTTTTATGTTATTACTGCTGCTCCATAAACCTTAAAAGGCAATCGGAACATTCAGGGCTTCGCCCTGATACGAACAGTCTTGTTTTGTATTCGGATGTATATTTACACGCAATAAAATGTACTACAGATGGATATCGCAAGAATTTGAATAATGCATCATGATGAAAACCTTTCAGTCTTTTTTTGCCATGCAATGAAAATTGTCAGAAATGTTTCTACCGCCGACAAAGAGCACAACAATTTTTTCATTGTTTTGCAAATTTCAATCAGCGATTGAAGACTTTGCGTTGACTGACAAATGTTTGTTTCATTTTTTTGCGCAAAAAATTTTCAAGGATTTCTGAACTGACAAATATTTAAGTGGTATTTAAGTGGCAAGGCGAGCGGCCAAATTATGTTTGAATTGAAAATTATTTAAGTAACTTTGATTGAAGTTGGGGATTTTAAAAAAAAATAAGTAGTTCGAATCTGGACAAAAATAGATGTCATATGATAGAATGCTCGAATTCTTGTAATATTTTCTTAGTTTACATGAATCTGCCTGAATCTGAAATTGAATCAGCTCCAAGCTGAAATAAGTTGCGCTGACGCGTTGAACCTAATAGAAAAATCCATGAAAATTGCGCATTAATTGGTCCTGTAATGCTGCAATTTTCCATAACATTACAAAAAATTTTGATGTTGAAAGAATCTAATTGGGGTATCAAGTTAGTCTGAAAAAAAAACATATAAATTTCGTTACTTTCTGAGACAATCTATAAGAGAGATTGCTTGGAAGTCATTTTCAGCAATTAAGTTCAACGTGCATAGCCCGTGGTTGATGTTTCGTCAAAAATGAGCGCTGTAAATGTGCAGAAACTGTTACCTCCACCTAGGAGTTAAGAATCTTAGGAGTTTACAATTAGGGCAAACTTTGGACCTAATTCATCACAGAATCAACGCTGGAACAGAGCGTAAGCTTTTTAGCGATTAACTGTTCGGTGAAATACCTCATTCGATAGTATCCTTCTCTGAGAATGCCATTTAGCTATATTTTTTGTCTTATAACTTGCTTTTCTGTCCAGTAAGCACTATATTAAAAATGGAAATTGATGCTTTTTGAAAACAAATTAAAGTATGCTAAACACAGTTAGGCAGCAATTACGCAGCAAAAATAAACATATCATAAATTAGACTTTGTTTTTCAATCAGAGTTGAAACAAGACTTCTTAAAAAACAGTAAATTGGTAATGAAGCTTTTTACTGAGAATTCTAATTTTGCTGCATTCTGATTTTTCGCAAATTCGACCAACTTAATCTGCACAACAATATCCCCCTTCTCGAAGTATATCCCAGTTTTCTATTAAGAGAAAAATGTTGGAAAAACGCATGATCGATGTGATATATCTTGTTACACAATTTTAGTCAGGCATTTTTTCACAACTGAAAAATTAGACAAAATTAGGTTGAGGTTGTTTTTCGGCCACGGACTGAGACGTATTGTTCCGACTTTTGATACGAAAGTAACGGAATATTTGTGCTCGGGGTGGGTTTTTTTTTCTTCAGACAAATTTCGACTTTTTAACTAGCCATTTTTGACGGAATTTTTTTAATATCATTCAAAAGGTATTGTTGTCTTGAGCTTAAATTTGAAAAAATATTTCATCTGTGATCATTCTTCGTAAAGTTATGAGGGTTTAAAGATTGCCATTTTGGCCATTTTGACCAATTTGGGACAATTAACGCGCGGTATAACTCGCGCTATTAACGCGTAAGCGGAGATTTAATCCGTCTTATAAATCGTTCCAAATTAGTTGAACGAAGCTTATTTGCCATAATTGATTTGTTACAAGGAACGAAATCTTTTTTTTTGTACTTTATATGGCGTGTGACTAGGGGATGATTTTCATAAAAAACTTTCAAATTTTAGAAAAAAAATTTTCATTTTATTTTAAGTCATTTAATTTTTTTATGTTATTACTGCTGCTCCATAAACCTTAAAAGGCAGTCGGAACATTCAGGGCTTCGCCCTGATACGAACAGTCTTGTTTTGTATTCGGATGTATATTTACACGCAATAAAATGTACTACAGATGGATATCGCAAGAATTTGAATAATGCATCATGATGAAAACCTTTCAGTCTTTTTTTGCCATGCAATGAAAATTGGCAGAAATGTTTCTACCGCCGACAAAGAGCACAAAAATTTTTTCATTGTTTTGCAAATTTCAATCAGCGATTGAAGACTTTGCGTTGACTGACAAATGTTTGTTTCATTTTTTTGCGCAAAAAATTTTCAAGGATTTCTGAACTGACAAATATTTAAGTGGTATTTAAGTGGCAAGGCGAGCGGCCAAATTATGTTTGAATTGAAAATTATTTAAGTAACTTTGATTGAAGTTGGGGATTTTTCAAAAAAATAAGTAGTTCGAATCTGGACAAAAATAGATGTCATATGATAGAATGCTCGAATTCTTGTAATATTTTCTTAGTTTACATGAAATTGCAAAATCCCCAACTTCAATCAAAGTTACTTAAATAATTTTCAATTCAAACATAATTTGGCCGCTCTCGCCTTGCCACTTAAATACCACTTAAATATTTGTCAGTTCAGAAATCCTTGAAATGTTTTTGCGCAAAAAAATAAAACTAACATTTGTCAGTCAACGCAAAGTCTTCAATCGCTGATTGAAATTTGCAAAACAATGAAAAAATTGTTGTGCTCTTTGTCGGCGGTAGAAACATTTCTGACAATTTTCATTGCATGGCAAAAAAAGACTGAAAGGTTTTCATCATGATGCATTATTCAAATTCTTGCGATATCCATCTGTAGTACATTTTATTGCGTGTAAATATACATCCGAATACAAAACAAGACTGCTCGTATCAGGGCGAAGCCCTGAATGTTCCGACTGCCTTTTAAGGTTTATGGAGCAGCATTAATAATATAAAAAAATTAAATGACATAAAACAAAATGATTTCGGATGTATATTTACACGCAATAAAATGTACTACAGATGGATATCGCAAGAATTTGAATAATGCATCATGATGAAAACCTTTCAGTCTTTTTTGCCATGCAATGAAAATTATCAGAAATGTTTCTACCGCCGACAAAGAGCACAACAATTTTTTCATTGTTTTGCAAATTTCAATCAGCGATTGAAGACTTTGCGTTGACTGACAAATGTTTGTTTCATTTTTTTGCGCAAAAAATTTTCAAGGATTTCTGAACTGACAAATATTTAAGTAGTATTTAAGTGGCAAGGCGAGCGGCCAAATTATGTTTGAATTGAAATTTATTTAAGTAACTTTGATTGAAGTTGGGGATTTTTCAAAAAAATAAGTAGTTCGAATCTGGACAAAAATAGATGTCATATGATAGAATGCTCGAATTCTTGTAATATTTTCTTAGTTTACATGAATCTGCCTGAATCTGAAAATGAATCAGCTCCAAGCTGAAATAAGTTGCGCTGACGCGTTGAACCTAATAGAAAAATCCATGAAAATTGCGCATTAATTGGTCCTGTAATGCTGCAATTTTCCATAACATTACAAAAAAATTTTGATGTTGAAAGAATCTAATTGGGGTATCAAGTTAGTCTGAAAAAAAAAACATATAAATTTCGTTACTTTCTGAGACAATCTATAAAAGAGATTGCTTGGAAGTCATTTTCAGCAATTAAATTCAACGTGCATAGCCCGTGGTTGATGTTTCGTCAAAAATAAGCGCTGTAAATGTGCAGAAACTGTTACCTCCACCTAAGAGTTAAGAATCTTAGGAGTTTACAATTAGGGCAAACTTTGGACCTAATTCATCACAGAATCAACGCTGGAACAGAGCGTAAGCTTTTTAGCGATTAACTGTTCGGTGAAATACCTCATTCGATAGTATCCATCTTTGAGAATGCCATTTAGTTATATTTTTTGTCTTATAACTTGCTTTTCTGTCCAGTAAGCACTATAATAAAAATGGAAATTGATGCTTTTTGAAAACAAATTAAAGTATGCTAAACACAGTTAGGTAGCAATTACGCAGCAAAAAAACACAGATCATAAATTAGACTTTGTTTTTCAATCAGAGTTGAAACAAGACTTCTTAAAAAACAGTAAATTGGTAATGAAGCTTTTTACTGAGAATTCTAATTTTGCTGCTTTCTGATTTTTCGCAAATTCGACCAACTTAATC